TTTATTTGTATTTGCGATCAACAGAATACTGAGAAACCCCGCAAAAAACAACGCGCCTACGTTTGCGCTTAATTTGGCGTGTTGAAACAGAGACCTGAAGCAGCTTTATTTACACCGCATTGCTGCGTCCAGTACAGATACGAGCAAATACGACGGTTGCCATGACAACGGCACGCGCGCTTCCGTTTTGGCCGAGGCAAGTGAAGCAAATTATGAATTTGCGTCTAGTCTGCTCTGCATTACCGATATCGTATTGTGTCGAGGTTAGTTTTCATTGTTTTGAACAATGTTTCCTGTCTATGATACGGTTTGTGTTATGTTGGAAAAATCGTTTTCTCAATGGAGTAATGATGATAAAAAAGACTTTTTAAACTCCGAAAAACCTTCTCCGATATTAAATGTAAATAAAACCGCTAAAGTTAAGGACAAAGTGTACAGTCGAAATTTTAAAAAATCGTGGTATAGTGAGTTTGCATGGTTATGTGGTAGCTATTATTTAAATAAACTTTTTTGTGTGCCGTGTTTGATTGTAAGTGTTAAAGCAACCGTGTGGAGCAAGTACGGTTTCAATGATTTCGGGAATGTGACTCGTGCTCTTCGTAAACATGAAGGATCATCGGATCATATGCGTTGCGCACTAGGTTTTTCAAAATTGAAGAAAAATCTCACTACTATTGAGGATGCTTTACGCGAAAATTCCAGGCTGTATATTAAACAGTTTAACGAAAACGTGCAACTTAATAGACGTTTCATGGAATTGCCAATACGCGCTGTCCTTTTTTTGGGCAAACAAGAACTGGCGTTTCGTGGCCACAACGAAGAGACGACTTCTATTAACCGTGGAAATTTCAAAGAGCTCCTAGAAGCATTTGTATCTATAAGCCCTGTAGACATTCAGGAGCACTACAAAAAAATTGCCTCAATATTTGCGGGCAATTCTAAAACCATTCAAAACGAAATTATTGACTGCATTGTCAAATGCATTGATGAATATGTGGAAAATGAAATAAAGGAATGCAGTTTTTTTTCCATTCAGGTGGATGATTCCACCGATATTGCCCACAAATCGCAGTGCAGCATAATAATCCGTTATGTCAATCTTGAAGGAAAACTTGTGGAGAGATTTTTAGGATTTCATGATGTAAGCTGCAGCCGAACATCTGAAGCATTATTTAACCTCGTGACAAGGTGTCTACAAAATTTTGATTACAAAACAAAACTCGTTGGACAATGTTTCGATGGTGCAAGCGTCATGTCCGGACAGTTAAATGGTCTTCAGGCTAAAATAAAGGAACAGGCACCCCAAGCAGTTTTTGTTCATTGCCTCGCACACCGCATGAATCTAGTGTTACAACAAAGTTGCAATAGTATTACAAAATGCCGCATTTTTTTTGCAACTATAAGTGGTTTACCGACATTTTTTCACCATTCTCCGAAACGAACTAACGTAGCAGACTCAATAATAGGACGTCGAATACCTGTTTCCGTTATTACGCGATGGACATCAAATTCTAAAGTTATCAGTTTTATAAATAAGGAGTGGGATTCCTTAAAGCAAGTGTTTACTGAAATTATTAATGATCCAACCTCCGATCAAGCCTCGGTTAGACAGAGCGACGGATTTCTAAATAAATTCCATGACTTCGAATTCGTGCTTTTGGTTGTTGTTTTTAACGAGATCTTTGGAATGACAGATATACTATTCGACACACTGCAAAAAAAATCTTTTGATATAAACCTTTGCATTAAGCAAATTAAAAGTGTTCAAACACAATTAAACAAGAAGAGAAATGAAGAAACATTTAAGAATATTTTCGAATTGGCTGCATCAAAAACAAGTGTACAAACGGAACACCGCGACGGCAGGACAAGAGTAACATTGTCTCGGGATCAAATTATTGAAAGATATAGAGTGCTGTATTTTGAAATTTTGGATACCATTTCTCTGCAAATCACGACCCGTTTCCAAGATATGGAAAAGCTTCATTTTGTGACGTTAATGGACACTTCGAAGTTCAAAACATATTCAGAAAAATTTCCAACAGAAGCCCTAAGTAATTTGAAGGAGTTTTATTCAAATACATTCACAGATTTCAGCTGATCTATAGCGATGATCAATATCAAAATATGGAACCCCGCTTATTAAAGGAATCGCTATTTGAGAATCGCAGTATCTTCAAGGAGGCATATAAGCTTTTGTGTTTAATACTGACCATTCCATCAACAAGTGTTTCGACAGAACGCAGTTTTTCATGCCTTAAGCGAATCAAAAGTTATCTACGAAGTACCATGTCGGAAGATCGGTTGACGACTTGGCAAAAATATCGATCGAAAAAGAATTATTAAATGAACTGATAGTGTCACAGCCGTTTTACGATGACGTTATAAATAAGTTTGCTAATTTGAAGGACCGACGAATTGCTCTCATATATAAACAATGAAAAGTGCCTGATAATCCTGACTTTGTTTTCGAGTTACTGAATTTAGGTAAGTTATTTCATGTTTTTTTTTGTGTATGCGCTCTACATGGTATGGGGGGGGTCGGTCAATCCTGCGTCACCTATTTGTAAAATCACGAGCCGCCACTGATACTGAGCGAGTTGGATGTCGTCTGTTTGGAAATCTTCGTTCGTGTTCTCTGGCTGCTTCTGCTGCGTTTCCCTTTACAAAGCCATACACAAAATGAATATCCGCTAACTCTTGATTGGAGAATAAAAATGGCATTTTTATAAAACTTAAAAAAAAAACAGGTAAAAGAAACTAAATTTCGTGCATTCACAATTGCAAAAAAACGTTTCAGGTTTCAAGAGACAACAAAACTAACTGTCGACTAATTGACGTTTAACCTTATTCTGCTTTCAATTACAAAAATATTTGCAGGCACAGCCTACTTCTAAAAATTATCGAGATACTGACTTTTTAACGTTATTTTATCATAAATAATTAAAAATGCATCGAACCTTAAAAATCGAAATATCTCAAAAACGGCTAACTATAACGAAAATTTACAGGAGAGCTTTTTTATGTTGAAAAGTGCGGAGAATCAGTGTTTTTATTCAAAAAGCAAAAAATTGCACTAAGAAAAAATTTTCGGTCATTTTAATACACTACAGGTACAGTAGAGAGCGTCCTCTAGCGGCTACAGTAAAACTATGCCCATGGTTCGTTTTGTCGTACCAAAAAACCCTTGTTTACCAATGTTCACTGTTATACATCAAATATTGTTCGAATATTTAAAAAAACTATTTTAGAAAGTAAATTTAAACACCCTGTACTTCGGAAGCCACGCATTTTTTTCGACCCATGTTGATATATACTTTATGCATTAATTTTAAAAGTTCTATCGAATCTTAAAGTTATGCAACAATAAACTGAGCACCCTGTACAAACTTCCGTCCTAGGGCCTCCTACAGGAGCTTTGTAGATGGATAGCTTCCCGGTACTTACCAAAATCGCTCATCATGGAAACCTTGCTTGGAATGTACGAGATGCGGTGTTGCCAAGCGAATCAATCACGCAATGTGCAGAACTTGGGGCGAACCTGAACTTTCATTTCGACCTAAAATCGAGCGTCAAGCTTAAACTAATTGATTCTTCTTAATTCTCATTCGTTGTAATAAGATGGTTTACGATTGTATGATCAATGAGTTCACTATTCGTGACCGGAGAATATTGTTTTTATAACGAAAAAATGCAATTTGATATCAAGCGGAAAGGAGATTTCTCGGTTTCCTGAAAGGGTGGGGGTTCTTTATTTGCTAGTACACAAAGACCTTAAAAATTGACACCTTCAAAATGGTCTTTTGGAATACGAATTTTCCCAGTAAGGTTCTACGAAAACCTAGTAAAACATATACTATAACATTAGAAGTGTTACCTAAAAAAAATTCTTCAACTTGTTTTTTTGGACTATATTTATGGAATGCTGTGGCAAAAATGGCAACATTTTATCTTTGTTTTTGTTGCCTCGAGTTCGAACAAACGTCCAATTATCGCCATGTTAGCGACTTTGATACGGGTACAATCATTGCCTATAGAGATGTTGGTTTGTCTCATCGCGGAATTGCCGCCGTGTTGACGGTAAATGTGTGTGTGTCGTGTGTGGATAGAAGGAAGCGGAAGACATGACGAGGCCAACTGCGTACTACAGAACGTCAAGATATTGCCTACTTCTTTTTGTTCAGGGCGATATGACTGCTGCCCGTTTTGTTGATGATGTTCTACAAACCACTTTACTGCCCGTATCTAGAGCGCCGTCCACACGTCCTTTTCAGCAAGACAACGCACGTCTCCATATTGCTCATCGTACTCTGCTGACTTTTCTCCAAAAAGCAAGGCGTTAATTAACATGTGTGGGATATGATGGGGAGGAGACTATCCACTTTCCACCATCCGCCACAGATTTTGCCACAGGCTAATCCGCGAAGTTCAAGTTGCCTTAGGATGAGGTGCCAAAACCAGACTCGGTCATCTCATTTTGGCGATGCCTGGACGTATACAGGGGTGTATTCAGCCCAACACATATATAATTTTTTCTGATTAATTGTCAATAAAACTTCGTGCGAATATTGTCGTTTCATTCTTGATGTAAGACCTCGTGGCTAAAAAATCAAGTGAAGAAGTTATTTTTACTATTGTCACTGAGCAGATATTCGTACACTCTTTATAATTTCTTAAAGGACTTTCCGATAAAGACGAATTCGTATATTTAAATTTGTTTTTTTTTTTCAGATAATCGGCCTGGTCATCTCCCTGCTCTATCTATTGAGCGCAGTATTCGCACTGAGAAGTTACAGAGGACTCTAAAAATATCAAAGCGTCGTACAGAAAGTACTTATTCGGCTTAATTTTATTGTATTTATTAGTCGTTTAAACAGTCATTTTACAGAACTGAACACTCACAATCCGTCGTTATTTTTGTTACCATATCGTTGAATATCACATAATTTCTCTAGTATAGAAGTACGAAGTTTTGGGATGGAAGAAGCAACCCACAGAAATGTCATGAGTATACGACGCCAAAACTTAAAATCTATAATCCTGACACATTTTTGTCGAGCATATTAATTTTTTATAATACAAAACGATTTTCGGGGGTGCAAGTGCTCTTTTTGATATAATATTATTGTGAATGTTTTACATTGCCGCAGCATATACAGGGTGTTTCAGTTTATTGTTGCATACTTTAAGATTCGATAGAACTTTCAAAATTAATGCATAAAGTCTATGTAAACATGGGTCGAAAAATGCGTGGCTTCCGAAATACAGGGTGTTTAAATTTACTTTCTAAAATAGTTGACTTTTTAACGTTATTGTATCATAAATAATTAAAATGCATCGAACCTTAAAATCGAAATATCTCAAAAACGGCTAACTATAACGAAAATTCGCAAGAGAGCTTTTTTATGTTGAAAAGTGCGGAGAATCAGTTTTTTTATTTAAACAGCAAAAATTGCACTAAGAAAAACTTTCGGTCATTTTAATACACTACAGGTACAGTAGTGAGCGCCCTCTAGCGGCTACAGTAAAACTATGCCCATGGTTCGTTTTGTCGTACCAAACAACCCTTGTATACCAATTTTCACTGTTATACATCAAATATTGTTCGAAATATTTAAAAAAAACTATTTTAAAAAGTAAATTTAAACACCCTGTATTTCGGAAGCCACGCATTTTTCGACCCATGTTTATATAGACTTTATGCGTTAATTTTGAAAGTTATATCGAATCTTAAAGTTATGCAACAATAAACTGAAACACCCTGTATAACAAAAAGAACCTACAATAATAGACCTTCAATAAATACTCCAAGGATTCTCTGAAGGTAATTTAAGACATATATTTATTCATTAATACGAAAACGGTATACGCGTTTAATGTTTTACATATGTAGAAGTGGTAAACTGTGTAGTAGAATAAAGCAGTACAGGAAATTTATTTTTTGTCTATTTCTGCATAATAAAAGTAAAAATTTCATCCATCGTCTATCGGAAATTTTCAGTCTATTTTCTATAAACGACTACAAACACAAGAGATCTAAAACACATATATCGAAGAAAACTGATAAAACCGTAACTATTTTGTAGAAATATTTATGGGATGAAAAATTTCAAAATGATGGAATTTTCACTCTAAAACTAAAAAATAACCGTTTTGTATGTCTCAAAGTGTATAGCAGTAGTTGGATCTACGTTAGAAAAAAGCTGCCATAATATGTATTGTATAAATGTGCCTTAGGTGTCTGATGCCTTTTTGACATTTATATATTTTTTTATTTATTAACATTATTGTGAGCCATGAATATTTTTTGTTATTTTAATAATAAACAGTTTAACCGTTTCGTTGTTTTACTGCGACCATCGAAAGTTAATAGTCAATCGTTTACAAAATATATCGTTTTTAACATTTACAACCTGTTTTGAAAGCTGCTAAAGGATGTTCACTTCTATAATTTTATCGATGTTTTGTGACTGTGGAATAAAAAACGAAATTTTGCTTGCACTAAGTAAACCTCGATCTTTTCAGTCTCCATAAAAACAACATGTAGTAAACATATTCTTTATTCAGTGTAATTTTTCTTACAAAAGGATGCATAATGGAAGTCAATGTAAATTCATATAACGTAACATGATCAGCATTTCCCTAAGACCATAGCAAGTAGGGCCATCCTAACATACATGCCGTACTCTGCTTGCCTGAAATAAGCCGCTCTAGGGTCAGAGTCAAATTCTGTGCTGATTTCGAAGACTCTCGGTAAAGGATGCATCACCGCCATCTTCTTTTTGGCTCTGGTCATCAGTTTTGGAGTCACAATGAAATGTCCGCAAGCCTAGAAAAAAAACTAGTTTATTCGCAGACTATAACAAGACAAATTAAAAGGTTAGAATGCTAGGCACATAACCTCCCTAACAAAGTACAGTCTTGGATCCTATCTAGTCCCGTTATATATTATGACCTTCTGATTAAAAGAACTCACAGACCAAACTTCGATAACGGATAGTTTTTTATTTCCATGGTATAACCAGAAAAACTGAAAGGTTAGGAACGGTTCTGCAGATGCTAGGCCCATAACAAAATAAAGTCTTGTTTTCTATATCGTTTCATTATACAGGGTGTCCGCAAAGTTGGGGTTTTCCTTTACACGACGTGTAGATCTTGAAAACATAAGCAATTTTTCTTAGTACCATATACACCAATGTCTTAAGGGAACCGAGATAAAGGGCTCTGCAACCTCAAAAATATTTGAATACCATCCTGTAGCCGCGACATCACCGACTGGTACAAGGTCACTGGCTCAACCCAACGACAGAACTGGGTCGGGGTTAGTGTGTCAGGTCAGTATGCAACCGACGGTTACGGTCACGCGTGTAGAGGCAATCGCGTAGACGAGAATCCCTCAACAAGCACTAGAGACGTGGCTAGAGAAGCGCAAGTATCAAAAACTAAAGTGTGGCAAACGCTGCGTGAAGACGGGCTGTATCTGTTTCACGTGCGGTTTTGTGAGTGGTTATTGCGTCAACATGACAATAATCAGGACTTTTTGAAGTGCATATTGGTGACAGACGAATCTACGTTCACGCGTAATGGGGTGAACAACTTTCGCAACACTCATGTTTGGTCAGTAGAAAATCCGCACGCTGTCCGTCGGGCACATTTTCAACAAACATTTTCGGTGAATGTTTGGGCTGGCATGGTGAACGGTATGCTCATTGGACCATTTATTCTCCCAAATCGATTGGACGGGATGCAATACCTAGATTTTTTACGCAACATTTTGCCTTCCTTGTTAGAAGATGTGCCATTAAGTGTACGACAATCAATGTGGTTTCTGCACGATGGTGCACCGCCCCATTTTAGACGCGAAGTGCGTGAGTTTTTGAATGAATTATTTCCGAATAGGTGGATCGGACGTAATGGACCCGTAGCGTGGCCTCCGCGATCTCCAGACTTAACACCATGTGATTTTTTTCTTTGGGGAGAAATGAAACGCTTAGTGTACAAAACTGAAATGCATACGGTTGACGAACTTCGTCTCAGAATTGAAGAAGCTGGTGCTTTCATTCGGGGGAGGGACTCCATTCTCAAAGCCTGCACCGATGCTTGGCTACGTCGTGCACGCACCTGTGTTTTTGAATCAAACGGCGATAACTTCGAACAATACCTATAAAGTACGTTTACCTAAAAACTGAAAACGCGGCAACGCCGTCTTTTGTTACCTCTGTTCGTGGTCTGCACCACCGCCGGCGTCTGCTCGGTAGCGCATCAGCTGATTTCATTTTCTGTTGGAGCGGTATGATTTCGGGCAGAGACGTACTTAGCCCTTCTCGTCAACTGGAGAGTGAGTACTTTTTCCTTTATTTTTTTTACTTGGTCGCGCTCGTTTCATTACACATTACCTTTGTTATTTCAAGGGTAGTTGTTTCTGAAAAGGAAACCCCAACTTTCCGGACACCCTGTATATTAAGACCTCCTGATGAAAAGGCCTCACAGCTCAAACTTCGATAATGGATAGTTTTTTTATTTACAGGATTCAACGAGAAACATTGAAAGGTTAGAAATGGCTGTGTTCATGCAATGCACATAACCTCCCTAACAAACTAAAGTTTTGGATCCCACCTCGTATATTATGGCCTTCTGATTAAAAATCTGCACAGGCACAAACTTCGATAATGGATAGTTTTTTGGCTATCAAATGTCAAACCAAACCCACTGTACCCCCTCTCGCGTACATTTTGTGAATCTATCGGAAAGTTTCGTATTGCAAGTAATCCTGTCTTACCCTTTCATATTCCTCTTGGGTTTCGAACCTCTCTCTCTGAATTCTCGTCATATACAATACGTCTGTATCCGGCAAAACTTCTTCTAAGCTGCTGTACTCTTCTTGTGATATTCCGTGTTCTTTCACGAAATCTACTACATGGCTAGGCATTCTTAAGGATGGAGGACTGACATATCTGAAATACAGAAAGTCTATTAATCCCTATTAATATTATAAATAAGAAAGTGTTTGTTGCAGATATTTATTTATAGTCTGGAATAGTACATGGGTTTTTCATTCCGGGAAATAACTTTCAGACGCGTATTTGATGGGATACGGGAATTTGAGATGAGTTGTCTGATATGGAAGCACTTCATCGCTGGTCAGATCGAAATGCCACGTACCGGATTTCAACATTCATTTTCTCAACACACGAAATTCGTTTTATTTCACTTTTAACACAAACGCAAAAATAGCAGCAGTTTCAACACAGAAGCTTGCTGTTTTTGGTCCGATTGGCATAAAAATAAGACGCGTGCAATTTCAAGGTTAGTTTTTTCATAAAAATGTCGTGGATGTTATATTACAAACGCCACCGGTGGTGATCCACCGGACTAACGTCTCGGCCAGATGTTTCAATTTAAAAAATTTGAAAATCTTGAAAACCGCGGATATTTTGAAAAATTCAAATTTTCGATATTTTCAGTTGATAGTTTCAAAAATATAGAATTTTGTTTAATATTTTTTAAGTTTTCAAAAACTCAATGTAAAAAATTTTTAATATCGTGAGGGTTGATAAACCCTTGAAGATTAAATGAATAGTAACATACCCCTAACTGATCTTCAAGTGAATATTTATCATTTGCTCACAGCAACAGTTCTCGTGACGGATTTTCAATTTATCAATTTACAAATTTTGTAACAAGTATAAGTTTTGTAAATTTCAAGATTTTAATATTTTCAATTAATAATTTAAGAATTATAGAAAATCTTAGATATTCTTAAAATGCTGGATATTTTGAAAATTCTGAAAATTTTGATGAAGAAAATTTTTAATATTTTGAAAGTTTTGAATGATTACATGCCGATTGAGGGTTGATCAATTCTTGGAGGTTAAATTAATAGTAACGCACTCCTAAGTAATCCTCACGAGAAGAGTCATCATTTGCACACACTAACAGTTTTTATCACAGTTTTCAGATTTTCCATTTAGAAATGTTAAAATCTTGCATACCCTGGAAGTTTAGTAAATTTGAAGTTTTCGAAATTATTAATTGATACATTTAAAAATATACAAAATTCTGGAAATACAGAAAACTTTCAAAATCCTGAAAGTTCTGAAGATTCTAAAAATTCTCAAGATTCTCAAAATTATCAAAATTCTGAAAATTCTAAAAATTCTGGAAATTTTGAAAATTCTGAAAATTCTGAATATTCTGAAAATTCTGAAAATTCTGAAATTCTGAAAATTCTGAAAATTCTGCATAGTCTGAATAGTCTGAATAGTGTGAAGAGTCTGAAAAGTCTGACAATTATGAAAAATCAGAATATTCTGAATATTCTGAAAATTCTGAAAATTCTGAAAATTCTGAAAATTCTGAAAATTCTGAAAATTCTGAAAATTCTGAAATTCTGAAAATTCTGAAAATTCTGAAAATTCTGAAAATTCTGAAAATTCTGAAAATTCTGAAAATTCTGAAAATTCTGAAAATTCTGAAAATTCTGAAAATTCTGAAAATTCTGAAAATTCTGAAAATTCTGAAAATTCTGAAAATTCTGAAAATTCTGAAAATTCTGAAAATTCTGAAAATTCTGAAAATTCTGAAAATTCTGAAAATTCTGAAAATTCTGAAATTCTGAAAATTCTGCAAATTCTGAAATTCTGAAAATTCTGAAAATTCTGAAAATTCTGAAAATTCTGAAAATTCTGAAAATTCTGAAATTCTGAAAATTCTGAAAATTCTGAAAATTCTGAAAATTCTGAAAATTCTGAAAATTCTGAAAATTCTGAAAATTCTGAAAATTCTGAAAATTCTGAAAATTCTGAAAATTCTGAAAATTCTGAAAATTCTGAAAATTCTGAAAATTCTGAAAATTCTGAAAATTCTGAAAATTCTGAAATTCTGAAAATTCTGAAAATTCTGAAAATTCTGAAAATTCTGAAAATTCTGAAAATTCTGAAAATTCTGAAAATTCTGAAAATTCTGAAAATTCTGAAAATTTGAAAATTTTGAATATTCTGAAAATTCTGAAAATTCTGAAAATTCTGATAATTCTGAAAATTCTGAAAATTCTGAAAATTCTGAATAGTCTGAATAGTCTGAATAGTCTGAATAGTCTGAATAGTTTGAATAGTCTGAATAGTCTGAATAGTCTGAAGAGTCTGAGAAGTCTGAAAAGTCTGACAAGTTTGAAAAGTCTGACAATTATGAAAAATCAGAATATTCTGAATATTCTGAATATTCTGAAAATTCTCAAAGTTCTGGAAGTTCTGAAAATTCTCAAAATTCAGAAAAACCCGAAACTTCCGGAAATTCCTAATATTCCGAGAATTCAAGGTCTGAAAATTCTCAAGATTCTGGAAATTCAGAAAATTTTGGAAGTTCTAATAATTCTGAAAATTCTCAAGTTTCTCAAAGTTCTAAAGATTCTCAACATTCTGAAAATTCCGAATATTCAGAAAATTTCGAAAATTCTGAAAGTACTGAAAACTCTAAATATTTAGAAAATTTTGAATATTTCAAGACATTGTGAATTGTGAAGACTATAAAAATCTTGGTCATCCCTCAATCGGCAACTTGACACTCAAGGGTCGACTATAAATATGGGCCTTTGACAATGAAAGAAACTCACCTTAGTTGTACGTTGTACAAAGTCAGTAATCGAGCCAAAGAGTGAACAGTTCTTCCATTTTTGAGATCTCCAACCAAAGTGATGTTCAGTCCGTTGACGGTACCAATTTCTTCTCGAATTGTGAAAATGTCCAGCAACGCTTGACTAGGATGTTCTCCAATGCCGTCTCCAGCATTTATAAGGGGTTTTCGGCAGTGCTGTGATGCTTTCTGCGAAGAAAAGAAATCAAATAAACATAGAAATAAGACAGCACTTCCTTCCTACTTCTAAATTTTCAGTTGGCGGTATTTTGGCATTTCAAGCTGATCTAGACTCGATTTATCATGTTATCAAACAACAACAAAAACGAAATAACATAAAGATAACTCTCACCATAACTGATCCTGGTGTTGGATGTCTGAGCACGAGCACATCAGAGTATCCCGCCATTACGGCAATAGAGTCTTCCAAAGTCTCTCCTTTCTTTACCGACGAGCTGGTTTCGTCCATGTAAATCACTCTGCCTCCCAACCTCTGCATGGCAGCTGCAAAGCTGCAACTTGTCCTGGTGCTCACCTCGTAGAATATGGACGCCATGATTTTACCTTAAGTCAACAGAATCAATGGGATCAGAACTAAGATTGAACGGCTGGGGGCAATAAGGTAGCGTCCTTGGGTTAAGCATATTTAGAACAACTTTCTGGTACTAATATCCAAGTAATTCAGCAAACTTAAGTGTTTAGTCTTTTACCATAAGATGAGAAATTCGCTTTTCATAGAATCATTCGATTTACCTCTTAATATTTGATCCAAAGGTCGGTCTTTCGCGGTATACACCCTGAGCGTTTGAGCCAAGTTGAAAATGTCGTTCAGCTGCTCCTTCGTAAACATATCAACGCTAAGGATGTGCTTTCCAGTCAAACCGTGGTGAGGATGCGACTGGGTGATGTCGATTTGGCTGCCAGTCTTTTTGCGTTCAACGCTCGAGAAACTTTCTGTTCTGAGCCTTGGAGGAACTGGAGACAGTAGTCTGGTTTCTATGTGTGGCTCTTGACCAAAATGCACCTGGAATTATTAACAAATGAGGCTTATACCAAGAGAAGATGCTTCGTGGGATGTCTACGGCACAACCTGGTCAAAAATTCGTATTCCAGTCAAATTAGGGGTTTGACATCGGATTGAGTAGATTCGTGGAAACTTTGTCACTGTAGCATGAGATTCTATGTGGGATTTAATTTTTATATATGTGAGATCACGTTAAAGCATACCTTGTTTCCTGTAGATAGCAATTTCAAGAAAATCTCGTTGGTCTGCCCATCATCGTCGTCCATCTGGTGAGGAGAGGGGGAAGCAGGCCTGTCAAGTGCCAATATCGACGGAGGACGTGAGTCCAATGGATTTATCCTGAGCTCCCATTCTCTGACGTTCTGACCAAAACCTGGTTGGACGAGAACTTGGCCTTCTACGTAAGCGATTTCGCCTCTGAGGACCACCCTGTGGACAGCCCCTTTAATCTAAAAGAAAAAAGTATCACGAGTATCCACGCGGTAAAATGACAGCTTATTATCTGACGACTCCGTCATTTTGTACTTGCTAATAAGTCTTTCATTTAAAAAAGTAACGCTACAAGTAACATGGTAGGGATAAAATAAGATAAACAATTCTGTTAATCTGTTAAGACCTGTCTCCAGGGGGTTACAACTACAGCCGGCCTTCATCCATTTGTGTTCTCTACTTTATGTTCTGTGGTGCAAACGTCAAAACGCTAATCATAGACGAGATCATTACAAACGTGAAACTCTCCTCTCCTGTCTATTGCCTTATTATTGTCACATTTTTTTTTTTTTTTTTTTTTGGCTTTAGGACTAGGCCATGCAGCCAGAAACTAGGTTGGATATTTTATATATTTCTATAATTATGGACGACAAACACACGACGTCACAACATCCATGGCGAAGGCGAGATTCGAACTCGCGGCCCGGCCGGCCGGCTGATCAGTAGCACGACACTCTGACCAACGCGGCCAACCGAGGCCCCATTATTGTCACATTCAATTATGAGTCCTTAAATCCGTGCAATTATCCCATAAACAATAAGCGGCAACACTGCCAAAGGTGAAAATGTCAATTGTCAATGTCAAAAGTATCGCGACACAATGTGGACCACAGTGGCAGTAACATGCCTAGTGATTGTGGTTCGTTAACGAATTAGTTCAAACGATCTAACATATCAGCTACTGATGCTAATGAAGAAATTCAAACACGTAAATAAAATGTAATTTATAACTTCAAATTCTGAAAATCCTGAAAATTCTGAAAATTCTGAAAATTCTGAAAATTCTGAAAATTCTGAAAATTCTGAAAATTCTGAAAATACTGAAAATTCTGAAAATTCTGAAAATTTTGAAAATTCTGAAAATTCTGAAAATTCTGAAAATTCTGAAAATTCTGAAAATTCTGAAAATTCTGAAAATTCTGAAAATTCTTAAAATTCTGGAAATCCTGAAAATTCTGAATATTCTGAATATTCTGAAAATTCTGAAAATTCTGAAAATTCTGAAAATTCTGAAAATTCTGAAAATTCTGAAAATTCTGAAAATTCTGAAAATTCTGAAAATTCTGAAAATTCTGAAAATTCTGAAAATTCTGAAAATTCTGAAATTCTGAAAATTCTGAAAATTCTGAAAATTCTGAAAATTCTGAAAATTCTGAAAATTCTGAAAATTCTGAAAATTCTGAAAATTCTGAAATTCTGAAAATTCTGAAAATTCTGAAAATTCTGAAAATTCTGAAAATTCTGAAAATTCTGAAAATTCTGAAAATTCTGAAATTCTGAAAATTCTGAAAATTCTGAAAATTCTGAAAATTCTGAAAATTCCGAAAATTCCGAAAATTCCGAAAATTCCGAAAATTCCGAAAATTCTGAAATTCTGAAAATTCTGAAAATTCTGAAAATTCTGAAAATTCTGAAAATTCTGAAAATTCTGAAAGTTCTGAAAATTCTGAAAATTCTGAAAATTCTGAAAATTCTGAAAATTCTGAAAATTCTGAAAATTCTGAAAATTCTGAAAATTCTGAAAATTCTGAAAATTCTGAAAATTCTGAAAATTCTGAAAATTCTGAAAATTCTGAAAATTCTGAAAATTCTGAAAATTCTGAAAATTCTGAAAATTCTGAAAATTCTGAAAATTCTGAAAATTCTGAAAATTCTGAAAATTCTGAAAATTCTGAAAATTCTGAAAATTCTGAAAATTCTGAAAATTCTGAAAATTCTGAAAATTCTGAATATTCTGAAAATTCTGAAAATTCTGAATATTCTCAAAATTCTGAATATTCTGAAAATTCTGAAAATTCTGAAAATTCCGAAAATTCTGAAAATTTGGAAAATTTCGAAAATCTTGAAAATTTTGAAAATTCAGAAAATTCAGAAACTTTGAAAATTTTTAAAATTCTGAACCTTCTGAACATTCTGAACATTCTGAAGATTCTGTAGATTCTGAAGATTCTGAAGATTCTGAAGATTCTGAAGATTCTGAAGATTCTGAAGATTCTGAAGATTCTGAAGATTCTGAAGATTCTGAAGATTCTGAAGATTCTGAAGATTCCGAAGATTCTGAGGACTCTGAAGATTCTGAAAAATCTGAAGAAACTGAAAATTCTGAAAATTCTGAAAATTCTGAAAATTCTGAAAATTCTGAAAATTCTGAAAATTCTGAAAATTCTGAAAATTCTGAAAATTCTGAAAATTCTGAAAATTCCGAAATTCTGAAAATTCGTCTCAGGTCTATTGCCTTATTATTGTCACATTCAATTATTAGTCCTCAAATCCGTGCAATTATCCCATAAGCAATAAGCGGCAACGCTGTCAAGGATGAAAATGTCAATTGTCAATGTCAAAAGTATTACTACACAAGGTGGACCACAGTGGCGGTAACATGCCTAGTGATTGTAGTTCGTTAATGAATTAGTTCAAACGAACGACTCTTATGACTGAAGTAAGGAAATGAATTCATCATTCACTTCGTGATTCAAGCGAAATAGTTATGAGTGAAAGAAGAACCAGATAGGAGACGTGAAACCACTGTAGGCAACCAAGTAACCAGAAGGATGTATTACTGGTTGCATGGATACGATCGTGGTTCAGTTCAATGAACATGACAAGATGGAGTTATTAAAGATGGTGTTAGTTACAAAGACTGAAGGAAATGAAAATTAGTTTTATCTAACATATCATCCATTGATGCTAATGAAGAAATTAAAATACGAAAATAAAAATGTAATTGATAACTACAAATTTCCATTTAAAACATGATTTTCTTAACTTTATTGACTTCTAGTCTATTACTTCTTTATGGCAAGACTTATGTAGCCTTCGAAAAAAGCCGCTCGCATGGCAGAGAGAGATAGAGAGAGAGAGAGAGAGCGGGAGGGGGGAGATAGAAAGAGAGATAGAGAGGGGAGGGAGAGAGGAAGAGAGGGAGAGAGAGAGATAGCACTAGGACAAGGTAAATACACAGAAAATTCTTGTCTTCCCGCTCTTCAATTTCCAATTGTCGGTGCTACTCTCCTCCCAATATCTAGCCTGGCATTTCATAGTTAGACACCTAGTTAATTTTAACTTTTAAGGGCAAGGTCAAAAGTTGGCCACCAACGTGACTGAAAAGCTAGCCAACCTGCTATGATAGCACCAAAATCTTACCTTCATTCCAGCGAAAGGCGTCCACTTGGCCTTACTGAACGGCATAGCCTCAGGGATGACCCATTCTTCGTCCAGATCTACCTCAACGTAAGTGTTTTGCTGGTACGGCAAGCTGAAGATCTTCTTCGGATTTTTATGGAATTTGTTGACCAGATCATCGATGGTCAACCGGCCTTCGTTGACAGCGTTGAGGAGTAGCGGAAGGATTGTTTCTAATCCTGGAAAACCTGGCGGTGCCTTTTCGCTAGTTTTTTCTTCTAGAGTGTGTGGTGCGTGATCGGTGGCGAAACAGTCTATGACGTGCAGGTGGTCCCATAAGGCTTGTTGGTCTTCTGGGGTTACCAGGACAGGACGAACCTAAACAGTAATAAAATCAATAGGGGACCCAAATTGGAACCCTGAGGTACACCACCACTTGACGTGTATGTGTAAGAACTAAACATATTATAGAATACATAGATCTCAAGTCTAGATAAGCTGATTTATGTGATGGCTGTGAAATAAGGCCTAGCTAAAGCTGATTCTTTCAGTATCCTTATTAAAACGTTGCAGTCTCATTTACGATACTCCGGCATTTGGTGTTCACCTTCACACGCTCACCTGACTCTTCTTCGGTCCCAACCTCTCCACATCATTGGTACTCAAAAACAAATGATGCGGGCACACCTCGCAAGTGACCTTCAGTCCTTTTTCCTTCGCCGCCTTGATCAGCGATATCTCTTCCTTTCTGGCTACGTGGCACACGTGTACCGACCTGTTCTGTAGGTTGGCCAGCAACAAAATCGCGGCCAGAGTTTCTTTTTCCGCGTGGACGCACAGCGGGGCAGTTCTCGGCCAGTTTGAGAGATGTTTGGTCCATACGTCCATGTTTTTGAGGTGGAGAGTGGTGAAGGTTTCGTTCAGGTACATTTTTAATGCGGCTGCATCGGCCGCGAATTCTGAGATTGTTGAGGTGTTCTCGGACGAGGCGCCTACGAAAAGGGCATAGTCGCATCTGAAATGATAATAGTCAAAATATAAAAGGGGTTTTTTGTGAAGCTTTGCAACGCATTTTCTAAAGAATCATCTCAAAGTACGTATTCCTAAGAGTCACTTAGTTGGAAGACACAAGCTTTTCCTAACTTACCTGGCTCCTTTTTTAGCGCACTTCTTAGCCAAAATCAGCGACTCCTCGTCAACAATAGCCGGATCGGTGTTGGGCATCGCACAAATAAGCGTGACACCTCCCGCCAAAGCGGCCGCGGTACAGCTGGAAAAGTCTTCCTTGTGCGTAGCTCCAGGTTCTCTAACGTGGACATGAGCATCGATGAAGCCTGGAAGTTTCAGGAGTCTTCGCGAACTAATGCAGTCCGTATGGGTTTCATCGAAGGTGGGGTGGTTCCTATCAGCCTCAGAGCCTACCAAGTAATAGAGTAGAATTTGAGAGATGGCGTCGAGTAGATCGACTCTGTACGTATTTTGGACAAATGGACAGCATGGATCTAAGTCAATTTTTATTATTCGGCGACTGAGAGAAGTTCTTGTGCCTTGACATACAGTACATATATGAAGCGTACGGGAGAATAACTACAATGGTCCATCCGGACAGGTTTACTTACCTGTTGGAAAGTAAAATTGATGAAAAAATAAGTTGTAAAGAATGTCTTTGCTAAACTGTGTATTTATTGGTAATAGCATGAACTTTTACTCAAAACTAGTAACAAACAAAAGATGATGTTCAACTCTGGACTCGTGCCACTTTTCCGCTGCTTTAAGCGCCTATTGGCCGGTCATTGACATATTCACCATTGATGTCTTCTGGATGATCAAGAGATATTAACTGTTGATACAATGCCCTAGAATCTGCTCTCTCTAGAAATTTGGTCATATCCTGCAGATCCTTCCATTTCTTACTTTTAATTCGGAATGGATCCTGCTCCTGGTTTTCTCAATGGTTCCTCTTCTCGTTTTTGTTGATCTTTTTTAGATTCGTCCGAATTACCTTATCAAATTTAAAACTAGCATATCGGCCCATGTATGCTAAGTGACATATAAATCCGAACACCCAGTTTAAATGGTTTATCTTAATAAAATGTTGTATAAGTACTTAATGAAGCATAATAAGTAAGTGATAAAAATTTCAAAATGATTGCACTGCTTTAAAGCCCTTTGACCTTTAATAATGTGTGGATGCACCCTGATGTGCTACGCATTCTCCAACGCGCCTAGGCATGCTTCTGATCAGGTGGTCAATATCCTCCTGTGGTATCTCATTCCAGGCAACCACCAACTCCTCTGGAAGTGCTTCTAGAGTCTGAGGAGGACGTTGCAAATTGAGCAATCTCTCCTACCCATCATATCCCACACGTGCTCAATTGCGGATAAGTCGGGAGATCTTGGTGGCCATGGTAACAATGTGACATCATTATGTTGAAAGAAGTCTATTGTGACTCTTGCAACATGTGGTCGGGCATTATCTTGTTGGAAAGTCGGATCTGCCAGGGTGTCAAGATAGGGTAAAAGATGGGGTTCTAAACTTCGTGGATATAACGCTGCGCGTTCATGTTACCTCTGATGAAGATTAAAGGTGACCTAGAACCATAAGATATAGCACCCCAAACCATAACTCCAACAATGTGATGAACATGTCTTTCAACAAAAAACTGTGGATTCCTCCCGTCACCACGTCGCCTTCTAACCCTGGCACGACTATGGTGCATGCCTAAACAAAATCGAGACTCATCACTAAAGACAATACTGTTCCATTCCTGATCCCAGAGTGACCGTTATCTGCACCACTCAAGGCGATTACGTCGGTGTTCTCGAGTTAAAGGGAGGACCCAGTGTGGCCGGTATGAAAACAAGCCAAAACTTCTCATTCGTCGGTAAACACTTCGCATGCCAATAGGTCTTCCGTGTTCTGCAAACCATTCATTTGCAATGGACCTGGTAGTGGAGAAACGGTCCCTTAAGGCCAATAATCTTAGGCGGCGATCTTCACGGTCTGTTGTTCTACGGCGGCGTCCAGTGCCCCTTGCTCTTTGTGTACGGCCTTCTCGAAGCCATGCCTGACAACACCCAACCACAGTGTCTACACTTCTTTGCACTCTAACTGCAATTGCCCGAAAAGAAAGTCCAGCTTCCCGAAGTCCCACTATACGGCCCCTATCAAACTCACTAAGTTGGCGAAATCGTACAGGTCTCCGTACTCTAGGCATCGTAACCGATCGTAAAGGATGTCAAGAACCAAAATATTCATTTTTAGAGCGTTAGTGAATTAAAAAAAAGCAGTATAAAAACCGGAATGTCCAACTGATAAGGCTGAACATTTTTTTACTTGTTATTTACAGTAAGATAAATACATTCACCAACTTTTAATAAAATAAAACCATTTAAACTGGGTGTTCGGATTTATATGTCACTTAGTATATGTCGATTTGTGAAAAACTACGCGAGGATTCTGTCTCCAAAACTTGAGCATCCTGACTGGGATAAAATGGCGATAAAAATGTGCTCCAATCTTGAAAATCAAAATTTTTTGCCACAATCAATGACTTCAAATCGTGTAGGTTTCACACGGCAGTTTTTCAATTCATCTCTCCAATCGTCCGATACCTCAGTGTATGCTCTTTGGTTCACGAGACTCATATCTCTATCACACTCGAGGTAAGAATGCCCCCTGATCGGGAATATTTCCTTCACAGTAGTAAAACGATTTTTCTTGGTAACCAAGTAATGCAAAAACCGAATGACTGTAAAGTTTTTATTTTGCCCTGCACAGGAGTCACAGAAAATGGCAAGTTATTTTACTTCCATAGGCAGGATGTTATAAAAAAAGTAATACAGCATAGCTCCTTTCTTAGCAATAGATTTATCGCAGGTATAAAAGATAGAATTTGAGTTTGACAGAATGTGGATGTTAAAACGCTTATAGTAAACTTCATTTGTCGTGATATTTGTATAGTGCAAGTTTTTTTGGTAATCCATCGTGATACTTTCGATAGCGGGGAACTCCGAGGCACGTTTGCGGTATGTTCTCTTTAGACTGTAAAATCGCTCACTCCTTTTTTGATGTAGTGTCTTCTCAAGTGTCTTTTTCTCGAAATTATTACTTGCTGACTGCCTAGTTTGTTCCGTGTGGGAATATAAGGTAGCGGTAATTGAAGATATATCAGCTTTTAAGGAATCACACGTACTACAAGTATCTTGTATATTGAAGTTGTTTTTGGAAGATTTCTCGGAAGGATTCATAGGAAATCTTGTTTTCAACATTGCCAATAGAACACATTTTGTGCAATTTTGCGATATTTAGATGTTCGGGTAGGTACGGCCGCCTTTCCATATGGACTGATGCCGTGTTTCCATACACGCGCAGGGACTCATGCCATCCTTTCCCGGCACAGGCAATCTTATAGCTGTTGTTTTGTGAATCTAAGCCCTTTTTACAATTTAAGAAGCTGATTACAAGATAACATCAAGAAAATACCTCCAAAATAAACTGAAAGCCAAATAATGGACTAATGCCGTTTTTCCCCGGAATCCTTCAGATGTTTCGTTTCCATTTAAAAAACTGAAGCGTAATGGAATATCTTATTTTTGGACCACCCTGTATTGAAAAGACGTCCTCATAGAAATCAGAATTGACGTGTCCGAGCGTTTTTCTCAAAATATACCAGGAGAGTCACAAATAGGGGTGCGATTTCTTCGTTGGGCCACCCTGTATGTGTACACACTTCTCTATCGTGCACATTGAACTCAAACTATCAAACAAATTTCGTTCTCAATGTATATATTTACCTCTGAGGCAGGCTAGGTATGTCCAAATAAGCAGTTTTGAGATAATTGCATTTGAGTTTTTTTGTATACTAAGTGACATATAAATCCGAACACCCAGTTTAAATGGTTTTATTTTAATAAAAGTTGGTGAATGTATTTATCTTACTGTAAATAACAAGTGAAAAAATTTTCAGCCTTATCAGTTGGACATTCCGGTTTTTATACTGCTTTTTTTTAATTCACTAACGCTCTAAAAATGAATATTTCAGCCGCAGTAAAGAATCAACGTTGGCGGATTTTGGTTCTTGACATCCTTTACGATCGGTTACGATGCCTAGAGTACGGAGACCTGTACGATTTCGTCAACTTAGTGAGTTTGATAGGGGCCGTATAGTGGGACTTCGGGAAGCTGGACTTTCTTTTCGGGCAATTGCAGTTAGAGTGCAAAGAAGTGTAGACACTGTGGTTAGGTGTTGTCAGGCATGGCTTCGAGAAGGCCGTACGCAAAGAGCAAGGGGCACTGGACGCCGCCGTAGAACAACAGACCGTGAAGATCGCCGCCTAAGATTATTGGCCTTAAGGGACCGTTTCTCCACTACCAGGTCCATTGCAAATGAATGGTTTGCAGAACACGGAAGACCTATTGGCATGCGAAGTGTTTACCGACCAATGAGAAGTTTTGGCTTGTTTTCATACTGGCCACACTGGGTCCTCCCTTTAACTCGAGAACACCGACGTAATCGCCTTGAGTGGTGCAGACAACGGTCGCTCTGGGATCAGGAATGGAACAGTATTGTCTTTAGTGACGAGTCTCGATTTTGTTGAGGCATGCACGATGGTCGTGCCAGGGTTAGAAGGCGACGTGGTGAAAGGAGGAATCCACAGTTTTTTGTTGAAAGACATGTTCATCACACTGTTGGAGTTATGGTTTGGGGTGCTATAGCTTATGGTTCCAGGTCACCTTTAATCTTCATTAGAGGTAACATGAACGCGCAGCGTTATATGCACGTTCTAGAACCCCATCTTTTACCCTATCTTGACACCCTGGCAGATCCAACTTTCTAACAAGATAATGCCCGACCACATGTTGCAAGAGTCACAATCGACTTCTTTCAACATAATGATGTCACATTGTTACGATGGCCACCAAGATCTCCCGACTTATCTCCAATTGAGCACGTGTGGGATTTGATGAGTAGGAGATTGCTCAATTTGCAACGTCCTCCTCAGACTCTAGAAGCACTTCGAGAGGAGTTGGTGGTTGCCTGGAATGAGATACCACAGGAGGACATTGACCACCTGATCAGAAGCATGCCTAGGCGCTTTGGAGAATGCGTAGCACATCAGGGTGCATCCACACATTATTAAAGGTCATCATTTACTTATTATGCTTCATTAAGTACTTATACAAAATTTTATTAAAATAAAACCATTTAAACTGGGTGTTCGGATTTATATGTCACTTAGTATATTAATTTCTCTGCCAATTATTGATCGATTCCAATAATTTTTTCACTGGTTTTATACTTCATCTATATTTTGCCGGTATGTCATTACATACGCGATTCTGAACATCAATAAACTTCTCCATTGTTAACATCTCCCCCCCCCTGATAAACTCTACCGGACTTCCCAGTTATTGTATAATTTCGTTTTACCGG